CGGCCTGATGAGAAGTTACTGAAAGCGTTCGCTCGCCAACATCGTGTTCTGAATTATCTAATGGGAATTTTCGCAACTTTGAAACATTTAAAAATGTATCAAAAGTGAGTTTTTGGATATTATTTCTCACGAAGATGGCCATATGGGCCATATTTAGAAATTCCTGGGAACACCAAAACACATGACAACTTCAGCAACAGACGTCTGATACTTTTATTCCTAATAAAAAAAACTTTCCACAATAGGTTACCTCTTTAAGAATCACTTTAATTAGCTATTCAGTTAAAGAATGTCTCTGCATGTTACCTTTTACCAAGGTAGTGTCGAAATGAAAATGACGATTTTTGACAAGTTTTTTTTTTAATTTACGTGAAGATAAATGATACAATTCGGCCGAACATGTAGGAACTCACTCTTCTCTTTATGTTGGAGTGTCTTCCACCATAGTGGATTACTTCAAGGCTCTGTTCTGAGCTTCAATCTTCTGTTTCTAAATTACACCACAGCGGAAATTATAGTATACAAACGAGCATATTTCTACACTATTTAGCTTTAATAATATTTGGTTGTACATCGATAATACATGGACAGTTTTGGTTACGTCCCAAATAGTTTATGTGGTAGAAACCTTTTCCACTGCATTTTGTGGCAAAAACCTTAACACACTAAAAATAATTTTTAATACTGAAATTGTTCCTTGGTCTTTAATGTGAATACGATTTCTTAAACTTGGTTTCACTTGCATTTAAGCAACTTTGGACTGAATCTTCCGGTTCTAAAAGGGATATGTATTACACTTTTCTTACTTATGTTGAGGTTCTCCCATAGCAGAATGCATATTAATAAAGAAAATTTAGGTTCTGTCCTTATTAGTGACACAGAGACTATCTTGCCTATCAGGCTACTCCCGTTTTAGCCAAAATTGATTTTTATTTCCCTAAATAAACTGAACTAAAAAGCAGCTTTCTCAGGATTAAATCCATTCAGTGGACTAAAAGAGCGTGACCAAATATATGCTAAACTACCAGGTCAAATTTCGTCATGACGTTTGCATGTAACCCTCGCCATACTGTATGCTTTTTAAGAGCACTGGACAGTCCCTGTATACATTTGGTGCTGTGCCATATTAATATACACATTCTTAAACCAATGGGTTATTTCCTATCATTCTGACGTTTTAAAATTTACGTTACATCATTGAGAGTTTTAAAAAAATATAAACGACCTAGCCTTGGGTCATACCATCCCAGTTTAAAATAACGTAGATATTTGGAACCACATTTTCAAGACCCAGCTCTATTTTATTTTATTTGATCCTTTCTAGGAGCACTATGTCACCTCTAACTATTATCGGCCACAGCATGTTCGTCCGGCAGCCCAATATGGCCAAGTGAGTTCGCTGAACCGGCCAGCCTACGATCTTCACCGACTGGACGCCGAACAGTTCACCACTCTCTTCAGACGTCAGTCTCACTGGCCGCATCTGAGTCTTCCGCTGTTTCGCCTCCTCGATCAGGACAAGGATAATCTCATTAATCTTAGGGTACGTCGACTCCTCCTGTCGGTTTATATCGCTAGTATACGGTTGGTTAACGATGCATTATTTTACGTATCGGGCTTTTGGTGGTTCTAGAAACGCATTAGTCGTAGTTGGGTCTTGTCTTTCACTGCTGTCCTCAGAGGATTCAAAAAATATTCGGATTTGGAATTTTTGTTTCTGCTTGACGTCTGCACATTTTTGTTTTGTTCTCATACCCTTCCCCCTAGCAGCTGTACTTTTCTTCCTTTATCTGCGGGAAGTGCTTATTTACCATCTCTATCATCTCTTTAGTTGAAATGCCTAGAACCATGCCAGTGGCACCCAGCGCGTCTGTAAATTTCTGTGCAGAATTTAGAGCACTGATTCAACTAATTTCTTGCCAGGAAATTCCGCAGTGCCGCTTTGCCTTGCAAGAAGGATAGGTTGTGTCGCAACCGCTTGGTTTCGAAAGAGATTCCATTTAGTTCCGAGAAGCTTGTAATCCCTTATCTGGAGCCCAGTTATCTAGCAAATACACCTACACATTCGCAACTTATCTGTAGTTATTCAATATTCTTACGTATAGAAAAGAAGTCCAGTTTGGAGTCGAGAAGCCTCTTTGCTTGGCCTTGGGATCTGACTGGTCAAGAATGGTGAGGAGTTCGGAAAGAGCCGTTTGGTAATATTCCTCTTGCTTGTATAGTCTTCCGCCATGCGAACGCCTGCAGCGGCTAATGATGCATTCTTTTACTTATCGGGCTTCTGGTGGTTCTAGAAAGGCATTAGTCGTAGTTGGGTCTCGTCTTTCACTGCTGCGCGGGCTTTAGTCCACAACAACCTCTCAGAACCCTTCGCTATTCGGTCAGACGTTCAGCAAAGCTGTGTCCTGTTGCCCATCCTCTTCAACTACGCCATTGCTTGGATTCTCGGGAAGGCCCTACAAGAAATTGACGGTATTGAGCTTGCACCTGGA